TGATGATGATGATGATGCTGATGATGATGATGATGACGATGATGATGATGATGATGATGATGATGATGATGATGACGATGACGATGCCGATGATGATGACGATGACGATGCCGATGACGATGACGATGACGATGATGATGATGAGGATGAGGATGAGGATGAGGATGATGCCGCTGATGATGATGCTGAGGATTATGTTGATGGTGATACTGATGCTGGTGATGATGCTGATGCTGACGCTGATGATGCTGATTATGATGCTGGTGCTGATGCTGCTGATGGTGATGGTGATGCTGATGAACATAATGCTGTTGATGCTGCTGGTGATGATGCTGATAATGATGATGGTGGTGCTGATGCTGATGCTGGCTGGTGCTGATGATGGTGATGATGATTCTGATGATGGTGATGATGATGATGATGTTGAAGATGATGATTATGATGGCGATGATGATCATGATGAGGATGATGCTGCTGTTGATGATGATGATGGTGATGGTGATGATGATGATGATGATGATGATGATGACGATGCTGATTATGGCGATGATGCTGATGATGAGGATGATGCGCATGATGATGATGAAGATGATGATGATGATGATGAGGAGGATGCTGATTATCATAATGATGCTGATGATGCTGTTGATGCTGCTGGTGATACTGATGAAGATGCTGATGCTAATGCTGATGCTGATGTCGATGATACTGATGATGATGCTGCTGATGCTGATGATGCTGTTGCTGTTTATGATGATGCTGATGATGATGCTGCTGCTGATGCTGATGATGATTATGCTGATGATGATGAAGATGATGATGATGATGATGATGATGATGATGATGATGATGATGATGCTGATGCTGATGCTGATGATGATGATGATGCTGATGCTGATGATGATGATGATGATGATGCTGATGATGCTGATGATGGTGATGATGATGATGATGCTGCTGCTGCTGCTGCTGATGATGATGATGATGATGATGATGATGATGCGGAGGAGGAGGAGGAGGAGGAAGATGAGGAGGAGGATGAGCAGTAGGAGTAGGAGTAAGGGTATGAGCAGGAGTAGGAGTAGGAGTAGGAGTAGGAGTAGGAGTAGGAGTAGGGAATAGGTGTAAGAGTAGGAGTAGGAGTAGGAGTGGTAGGAGGAGAATCAGGAGGAGGAGGAGGAGGTGGAGGAGGAGGAGGAGGAGGAGGAGGAGAAGCAGGAGGAGGAGGAGGAGGAGGAGCAGGAGCAGGAGGAGAGGGAGGAGGAGGAGGAGGAGGAAGAGGAGGAGGAGGAGAAGGAGGAGGAAGACGGACGGGGGAGGGATAGACTGGACGACGGGAGGATGGGCGGCAGGAGGAAGAGAAGGAGGAGGTGCCATTTTGGCTCAAAGCGTTGGACTCAAGCGCTCCGGTTTAAAACCAGGTTGGACTCCATCAGCGTTGGTGCCATGTTTTTTTGTAGCATCTTTTTGGATGCTATACATCCGTCGAGGATCTCGAGAAGGCGCTGATTCCTTCGAAGCATCGGTCAAGAAGTGCGTTCGGACAAAACAATGGGAGACAGCACTGCAGTTGCTCCGCGATGGAATTCACTCACGCTTGCATCTCATCCCAAGCCACTACACTGCAATTGCCAGCGCTTGCAGAAGAGGCGGGCAGTGGCAGCACGCACTGGCCGTGCTCGGTGAGATGTGGGAGGCGAAGGTGGAGCCCAACGTCATCTACAGTCGGGGCCCTGAAGAAGGAACCCTTTTCGTTGGGGAGGGGCTCCGTGTTCCTTAAGCCAGCTCGCCTCAGGTTTTCCTTACGCTTTTGATCGGACAGCAAAGGTTAACTTATGAAAAAAAATGGGCCTCGTTCCTTCTTTAGGGCTCCTGAGGTCAACGCCCCGACTGTATGGTACAGCGCTGGGCGGCACTGCGCGTGCCAGAAGGGGCCCATCCGCAGCGCCCTCCACGGGGCCGCGGCGGCGGCGCCTCCGCGCGGCTCCGCCCGTGGGGGCGCCGACGGCCTGCTGCCCGAGAGGGCCCCCCGCGAGTGGCCCGAGGTCGCCCTGGCCAGTGGCCTGCCCCGATGGGGGCCCCCCCGCGGGGGGCCCGAGCAGGCCCCCGGAGAGCGCCCCTGCCGCAGCTCTCCACGCCCGAAATGGGTACTGAAAGAATGGGTGCGATGCCCAACAGCAGCTCTTGTTCATTCTGAGCAGGACTCGCTGTCCACGCCGCCGCGGCCTGTGTCCATTCGAGACAGGAGGTCGCCCGCCCAACAGCGGCCGCTGTCGGTTTGGGACAACATTTGCTGTTGGGTATTGTACCCATTCTTTCGGTACCCATTTCGGGTGTCCAAAAGGGGGCTCCCCAGGCGGCCACCCTGACCTTCCAGGAGGGCTGACAAAAATAGCACCCGGCTTAAAAGCCTATCCCGAAGCTATTCTGCGTCTTGGTTCTAGGCTGTTTCGCTCAGCTTTTTAGGTTTTTAGGTCTCCAGTGCTAAAAAATAGCTCTCTGGAAGGTCAGGGCAGGCAAGGCTCCCACCAGGTGGCCTCCGGGAGGGCCACGAGTACGACGAGGCATGCGGGTATCGTGGAGGTGTTCTGAACACCTCCTCCCACGATACAGTCGGGGCCCTGAAGAAGGAATCCTTTTCGTTGGGGAGGGGCTCCGTGTTCCTGAAGTGTTTCGCAGCTTGCCTTGGATTTTCCTTAGGTTTTTGATGCGAAATCGAAGTTCAACTTATGGAAAAAAGGGGCCTCGTTCCTTCTTTAGGGCTCCTGAGGTCAACGCCCCGACGGTATCGTGGAGGTTTTTTTGAGCACCTCCTCCCACGACAGCTTCTGCGGCCAGGAGGAGCCCAGCCCACCACGAGTCGTCCCCAGGGCGCCCAGGGAGCTCCCGAGAGAGCCCCTCCGACGGCCCCGGAGGCCGTCAAGGCGGCTCCGGGGACTTCGAAGACGGCCGAGCAGCCCCCCAAGACGGCCCCACAGGGAGTTTAACGGGCGAAGAACGGTATAAAATAAACTTTTTCGCTGTCGGGGGCGCCTGTCCCTGGGCGGCTGGAAAGTTTATACCCTTACGGTGGCACCGTAGGGGTATAAACTTTCCAGCCGCCCAGGGACAGGCGCCCCCGACAGCGAAACAGTTTTTTTTATACCGTTCTTCGCCCGTTAAGAGGCCCAACAGGGCCAACTGTGGAGCGCTCCCCCCCAAGAGGCTCCTGGACGGCCTCTGGGGCACTCCCCAGAGGCTGCCAGAAAGCTTCCAGCGGCTTCTTCGAAACGGCTCTGACATGCTCCTCGAAGGTCCCAGTTGATTGAGACGAACCCCGCCCCACAGGTTCCTGGAAGGCCGGCTCCGACAGGATCCCAACAAGCACCAGATGGTTCGAGGAAACCACGCCCCGCAGATCTTGGGACACCTTCTGCGGGGGAGGGGTTGCAGAAGATAGCTGTCCCATCCAGCCGCGGACACCCAGGAGCGCTGTGTCTGCGTCCCCTCCTTCGCCGAGCGTGTCCCAACAGGTGTACATCATCTTAGGCCTTTTCCTTCTCCCCTTCGTCGCTCTCCTCCCCCACAGGCGCTCCTTCCGGCGCAGTCGGAACCGCACGATTTCCACGAGGGGGAGGTGGACGAGGAGGAGGACGAGGAGGAGGATGACGAGGACGAGGAGGAGGAGGAGGAAATGGAGGAGGAGGAGGAGGAGGAGGAGGAGGAGGAGGAGGAGGTGGCGGACGACACGACGAGGACAAGCCAAGCGCGAGGCGGAAGAGGATGATAAGGAGGAGGAGGAGGAGGAGGAGGAGGAGGAGGAGGAGGACGAAAAGGAGGAGGAGGAGGAGGAAACGGAGGAGGAGAAGAAGGAGGAGGACCTGTGTAAACCCAAGAGCCACCAACGATGTTGGAATCAACTCTCCCCCCAAGCTCCCTCTTCATAGGCCCCTACAATGGTTCATTTCCACAGAGGGACCTGCCCCGTTGGACGACAGCCGTCTGAAGACCCTGAAGCATACCAAAACATTGTTCTCGGGATTCCAGCGCCACGGATCAAACTGACTGTTGCGTCTTGACGACCCTGAATCACGCCAGAACGCCATTCTTGGGACTTCAACACCGCGAAGTATCGTAGCTGTTGCACCGAATCGTAGCTGTTGCACCTTCATCATCGTGAATCCTTCCAACAGACTTGTTTGGTACGTGCATCATGGGAATCCGTGAAACTCTTGTAATGTTTGCAACGAATGTGCCCGGCGCTAAGGCGAGAGCCACATTTTGAAAAGGAGCCGCCCTCGGTCTGTGAAGCCCTTCTGTATTTTTGTGAAACGAATTTGCGCGGCACTCAGGCGAGAGCCATATTTTGAAACCCACCCGCCCTTAATCCGTGAAGCTCCTGCACGTGTTTAAAACGAATGCGCGCGGCGCTAAGGCGAGAATTTTGACAACGACCCACCCTCAAGCCGTGAAGCGCTTGCAAATGGTATAACGAATGTACGCGGCGCTAAGGCGAGAGCCGCATTTTGAAAATGACCCGCCCTCAAGCCGTGAAGCTCTTGCAAATATTGCGCGGTGCGAAGGCGAGAGCCAAAATTTGAAAACGACCCGCCCTCCATCAGTGAAACTGTTGCCGATGTTTAAGCTCCAGGGTCATAATAGTTAGGAAGTCTCAGGCGAAACGCCCGGCCCGCCCTAAAAAACTAGCCTCGGGGTGCGACAGGAAAAAGCTATTTATAAGGAAACGGAATGGAGGAGGAGGAGCAGGAGGAGGAGGAGGATGCGGAGGAGGAGGAGGCGGAGGAGGAGGAGGTGGATCTGATTGGTGCTGTTCCTACTTCCCGTGCCCCTGGATCTACTGCCGCCGATAATGCCGCCGATTGCCCACGCGCCTGCTTGACGCAAGGCCTCAGTCAGCCAGTGCTCTGGACGCGCCGTACTCATCCAGCCACACTGCCCACCCAAAGGCAGAGAGCAGTTGCAAGCGCACTCCGACCGCTTGCACACGTTGGGGTGTCTTGTAGACTACACACTTCCAGGCGCGGCGCGTGCGGAAGCGGGCGAGCAGCTCGAGCCCTCTTGGCGCGCCTCGGGGCACTCCACAACGGCTCCGGCGGGCACCCCCAGACGGCTCCAAGGACGGTCTCGTGACGGCCCCAGGATAGATCTGGTGCGCTCCAGAGGGCGGCAGGGGCGGCACTTCGAGGAGGAGGAGGAGGAGGAGGAGGAGGAGGAGGAGGAGGATGACCCGAAGAGCGAGCCGCGAGGGGGCCCTGGAGGGTCCGAAGGCCTGCCAGGAGGTTCCACAGGCGGCCCGCGAGGACCCCATGACGGTCCCACGAGGCTTGCAGTCCTTCCGCAGCGAGCGAGGGGGTGGAAGTGAGAAGGAGAAGGCCTTCTCGGAAGGTGGCGGGACTTCTCAGAAGCCCTCGCGCCTTCTGAGAAGTTTCCTCTGTCGCCGGGGGAAGCTCAGAAAACTTTTCAGAAGGCTGGGGGACTTCCGAGCCTTCTGAGAAGGCACGCTCCTTCTCATTTCCCCCCCTCGCTCGCCGCCAAATCATGTAAAAACCTTGAGCCTCACATTCTTCCAGTGAAGGGCCTAGGACGTCCCCACAAGACCACAGGTCCTTCCAAGGTCGCCCACGACTGCCTAAGAGGCCCCGAAGAGGACACCAAGACGGCCCGAGAGGGCCCGAAGACGGCCCAAGACAGGCCCGAGAGGGCCTAAGAGAGTTTTCAGTGGCCCCCCGAGACAGCCCCTAGAGGGACCACAGCGGGCTTCAAGACGGTCACAGACCCCCAACATGGCCCCCAAGCGCTGAAGAAGCCCCCGAGACGGCTCAAGAGGGCCCCAGATGGCGCAAGAGGGTCCCAAGATCCAAGATGGGCCACTCCAGAATACCCCAGACCCTCCCAAGAGATGGCAACATTTGCCAAGGAACTCCCAAGATATCCTCCAGCCCCAGCACCTTTCGCAGGCTCTTGATTCCCAGACCCCCAACGAAAGCGACACACCCAGAAGAAGGCTTCCGACCACTTCCAGATTCCACAGAGCCTCCCAAGATATTCCGATACTTGCCTCGTACCTCATAAGAGAGCCTCCCGAACCAGCATCTCCCGCCGCTTCTGGAAACCCCGTAGCCCCAGAGAAAACCCCGAACCCCACACACGGCCCCATAAAGTTCCCCTCCCTGTTATCCTCTCATCCTCCTCCTCCGACTCGTCGTCATCCTCCTCCTCCTCCTCCTTCTGATCGCCTTCCACCCCATTACCCTCTCCTCCTCTCCTTCCTTCACATACACACACCAGCAAGCCTCGCCTCCCCCCCACGGCCAATTAGATGTGACAGGGAGACCTCTACGACAGTAGCCCCAAAGAGAGCCCTGGACACCAAACAACGCCTCACCAAGCTCCTCTCCTCGTTGGCGGCCGCCCGCGAATGATCGCCAGAGGATGGAGTTCGGGTGATGGCGCATGGACGTTGCCCCAGCTCTTTGGCACTGCTGTGTTGCACAGCCTGCTGGACGCCGGCCGGCTGTAGCGCCAGCGTCCCGCCAGGCTTGCCTGCCAGGTGCTCGGCCCTGCACGACCTGCTTGATTTGCTCGCCCGTGCTCCTTTCCTCTCCCCTCTGACCCCTCGGTTTCGCGTTGCAGCGTTCCGTCGACCTACTTGAAGCCAATATGTTGCAGTGTTGCTGGCTACTTCTGACATGGCTCCTCTGTTTCGGCAGGAGGCGCTGTACAGGTCATCTGCATCGTTTCGGCCCCTCCCCTCCCTCCTCGCCCTCCTTCTCCTCCGCTCTTCCTCTCTTTTCTTTGGCTAGTGTACGCCTCCGCTCGCGAGGGTCACCTGTGCGAGTACCATCCAACTGTGCTGGCCTGCGCACGCGCGAGTGCACGGATACTCAGAGTAGTGTGTGTGTGTGTGTGTGTTGGCTCCGTCCTTGCTTTGTTACTTGCCTTGCTCCTGTCTCTTGCCCTTCTGCTAGTCCACGAAAGAGGCTGCGGCAGCACGCTTGTTCAGCATGCTGATCTAGAGAACCAGCACCGTAGTGTGCACAGACGTGCGGCTGTCGCCCAGGGTCAGGGGAGCTCTTCGCAACCCGGGTCGCGCTCGAGGGGCCCTATGCTGCTGCACCTTCATCGAGAAAGCCCCTCGCTGCGTTCTCTCTTCTCCTCTCCCCCTCCTCCTCTGCCCCCCGGGGGCCTCCAACCCCCCCTCTCTCTGGTGCCGCTCTCCCCGTCCTTCGTCTGCCTGCGTCGGCAATTATCTGCGCGCTCAGGGCCGACGCCTCGACCTGCCTGCCGTGGAGTGTCCACGGGTGCACTCGTCGGCTACAACGTCGAGATCAGCGCGTGCGAGAAGGGCAGGCAGTGGCAGCGGGCGCTTGCGCTGCTGAGCGAGATGCGGGGGGCGAAGCTTGAGCCCGACATCACCAGCTACACCACAGGAGCCACTTCGCCGTCTCTGGAACCCCCGAAGTCCGAGAGAAGGCCGCGGACCCCGATCGAAGTCCCAGACCACTCCGAGGCGCCTCAGACCCTCCCAAGATACTCCGATAATTCCGACGGAGCTCCCAAGAGCCTCCCGCTCTGGTGCCTCCCCGGCGGCCTTCAACAAAGCCTCTGACCCATAACAAGGCCCAACGATCCTCCTCTCCCCGTTCAGCTTTCTTCTTTCACTCGTCCTCCTTCCTCCTCCTGCTCCTCTTCCTGATCCTTCTCCTTGGCTCCCCTTCCTCCAAGCTCCAGCCACTCTGGGGTCCCCGCACAGCCGATTCGGGGTGGCAGAGGGGACATGCAGACACCTCGGAGCCCCTGCAGCAGCACCCGCACCCTTTGCTGTCTCCGAACGCTCCAAAAGAATCCGAAGACCGCCCTCGCTCCAGAGCTACTCTCTTCTTCATCGGCCTCCTGTTCACTCTCTTGCGCCTCACTCCCTCCTCCTCTGCCCCCCGCACACCCCAGTACGTCTCGCCCCCCCCCCTCCCCCTCCGCACCCCCCCACCCCTCCGCACCCCCCCAAGCGGTTGGGGGTGACAAGGGGGACTTTCTTCTCTCCTCTGCCCTGTCTTCCTCGTCTGCGATTCCGCACCACCTCCCTCCCTCTGGACTGCTCTCTTCCTTCTACCCCCCCCTGCCGATTAGGGGTGACAAGGGGGACCTTCTCATATCTTCTCTGCCTCGGCTAACGCTTTCCTCATCCTCCGCCTCCTCCTGCAAGAGGATGCAGCGAGACTGGGCTGCGGGAAGCCTTCGATAGCACAAGAACCCTCCAGGGTCCACTCCGAGATAGCCCAGACCCTTCCAAGACACTCGAAGGCAGCCGCCAGCCCCAGAGCCCGAAGCCTGCAGCAAACCCCGGAGCAAACCCGCAGGCGTGGGCGACACATGTGCGTTCGGGACCGCCACCTGGACCTGCCATCCGTGGTTCTTCCTCGGGTTCACACTAGAGCGCTGCAAGAGCTCGGACACGAAGGCGCGGTCTCGCTGCCGCCGCCCGAGCCGCCGCCGTGTTTGTAGATTTTCGGTACAATCTGCGCCGTTCCTCCGAGAACCATTCCAGAAAGATGTCCCTGGACGAAGTCCACGGGTCAGCCCTAGTCAGCTACAGCGCTGGGATCAGCGCGTGCGAGAAGGGCGAGCAGTGGCAGCGGGCTGTGAGGCTGCTGAGTGAGACGTGGGAGGCGAAGCTTGAGCCCAACGCCATCGCTTCTACAATGCCGGAACCTCTGTGTGCGAGAAGGTGCGGTGTGTCAGTGGCCTCTTCTTTCTCTTCAGGAGGCTCCCCGGGAGGCCGACGCGCGTCCCTGGGGCAGTTCGCACAGTGCTGCCGGCCTTCCGCCACGCCCCATACACGGGCCAACAGAGCCCGGGGACGGCCGAAGAGGCGCCCAAGACGGCCCCAACGGCCCAAGAGCCCCACAAGCACAAGACGGCCCACGGGAGATCCACGAGGGCCCCCACGACAGCCCCGAAAGGGCAGCATCGCCCCGATTCCTTTGGGAAGCATGCGTTTTTTGGCCTATTCTGATTTTTGTCTTCGCAGCGTTCCCGCAGGCCTTGGAGGCTCTCTTCATCCCTCCCAGACAGCCTCAGAGGCCCCCACTGAGAGCCCCAAGACAGCCCAAGAGGGCCCCAGCACGGTCCAAGAGGCGCCCAAGGCGCCCCTAAGAGGCCCCCAATAGGAAGAAATCGAAGTGTATTTTTGCGCCCCCCCGCTCCAGGATGATCCCAGAAACCGCCAGCCCCGACGGGGTCAGAGTGACGCCAGATGGCCCCCATAGACAGCCTCGGACAACCCCCAAGACAGCTCCGACACGCTCCTGAGGGCGCCAGGACGTCCCACGAGGGCCCGAAGTCGCCAGGGGGATCGACGGACGGCCAACGCGAAGACTCCGATGACGGCCACACAAGGCGAAGGCACAAGCGAAATCCGGATATATATATATATATATATATATATACATACATACATACATACATATATATATACATATATATACATACATATATATATATATATATACATATATATATATACATATATATACATACATATATATACATATATATATATATATATGTTCCAAAAGGATTTTCACATTCTCCCCCTGACGGGCCCAGAACGGCCCTACACTGCTCTGGGTCTTTCCAAGATCGCACCGACATGGCCCAAGAGACTCTCACGAGCCCACCAAGACGGCCAGCGCGGGCCCCCAAGACAGCTCAGAACAGTTCCCGGAGAGCCTCACAGAGCGTCAACTGCCCCCACAAGACACCCCAGGAGCTGCCGAGGAGGCCCCAAACAAGGCTCCCAGACGGCCCCGGCAGTCCACCATGGCCTCAAGATGACTCACAGAGCTCCCGGGACGGCCCCGGAGGGCCCACGAGAACTTCGAAGACGGCCCCAGGACGCCAGAAATCAAGCACAAGCCTTGTGTGCTTCCGATGTTTTCCACGCTCTCGCTCTGCCGGGCCCAGACCGGCACCACGCGGCTTCAGGCACCTGTGCGATCGCTCCGAGGCGGCCCCAGAGGCCCCGACGAGCGTGCTAAGGTGGCCCAAGAGGGCCTCATAGGTGGCATTCCAAGGCGCCCCACGAGCTGCCGAAGAGGGCCCCGCACTGGGCTCCCAGACGGCCCCAGACCCCCACCTTGGCCCCAGGCTTGCCCGGGAGGCCTTCAGCGGGCCCACGAGAGGCCCGATGACGGCCCCACGAGGCCAAAAGTCAAGTACGGGCTTTGTATATCCGGATGGTTTTGCAGATTCTGCCAGTGCCGAACCCAGAACGGCCCCATGCGGCTCCAGGCACGTCCACGATCGCCCCAAGATTGCCCACGAGGCCCGACGAGCGCACCAAGATGGCCCACGAGGCCCCCCCCCCAAGACCGACCCCAGACGGCCTGCTTGATAGAGCTTCAGCTGGCCCCCCGGCACGCCCCCCCGAGCTGCCCAAGAGGGTACCCATTTCAACCGAGCTCCAACAGGGCCCCGGACCCTCCACCATGGTCCCGCGACAGCCGTGGAGGCCCCCGGGACGGCCTCAAAGGGCCCCAATTCGGCCCTGTAGGAGGTCGCACAATGGCCCAAGAGGGCTCCAGGAACTGTGGAAGACAAGGGGGCCTCAGAATGGCACCATTGGGCCCTAGAATGGCCTAAGGGGGCCCCAGATGGCCCACGAGGGCACTCTAGCACTTCTCGAGCCCACTCCCGCCGATTAGGGGAGACAAGGGGGACCTTCTCCTATCTTGTCTGCCTCGGCCTCCTCCTCTGGGGGCCTGCACCCCCTCCCTCTCGGGTACCGCTCTCCTCCTCCCCCTTCTCCCTCCTCCTCCTCCTCCTCCTCCTCCTCCTCCTCCTCCTCCTCCTCCTCCTCCTCCTCCTCCCCCTCCTCCTCCTCCTCCTCCTCCTCCTCCTCCTCCTCCTCCTCCTCCTCTCTCCTCCCTCCTCCTCCTCCTCCTCCTCTCCCTCCTCCTCCTCCTCCTCCTCCTCCTCCTCCTCCTCCTCCCCCTCTCCTCCTCCTCCTCCCCTCCCTCCTCCTCCTCCCCTCCTCCTCCTCCCCTCCTCCTCCTCCTCCTCCTCCTCCTCCTCCTCCTCCTCTCCTCCTTTTCAGGCTACTTTCTCCTCCTCCTCCTCCTCCTCCTCCTCTCTCCTCCTCCTCCTCCTCCTCCTCCTCCTCCTCCTCCTGCAAGAGGATGCAGCGAGACTGGAGTACGGGCTTCCTGCAGCCGTCGATGCCACGAGAAATCTCCAGGGACTACTCCGAGATAGTCCAGACCCTCCCAAGACACTCGCAGGCAGCCTCCAGCCCGAGAGTCTGGAGCCTGCTGTCAAACCGGGAGCCTGTCGGTCCCGAGCGCGCGCGCGTCGCCTGCGATTGACGGCACGTGCGCGTTCGGGACCAACACCGTGACCTGGCAGCCGCGAATTTTCTGCGGGTTCACTGGTCCCTCCAACAACGCAGGGGCACGCGCTTCCGAGAAGGGTCTCTGCATTGAGTGCCTCCTCGGAGCCTCGGGGCGCGCTGGGACGGTCTCTGGGGCGTTGGGAAAGGCTTCAGAAAGCCCTCAGGCGGCTAAAAGACGCTCAAGATTGCTTAAAGATTGCTCCGAACGTTTTCTAAGACTAGCTTCAAAGCGGCCCGAGCAGCTTTTAAGGCGCCCCAAGACGGCTCCGAGAGGGCCCCCTAGAGGGCCCCGAGAAGCCCAAATCGCCCCAAACCCACGTGAAAGCGCACATGCTAGCATGCTCGCCTTTCCTGTCTTCGCTCTGCCAAGAACGGCCCGAGATCGCTCCCTGAGGTCCCCACGAGGGCCCCAAGACGGCCCAGGAGCACCCCAGGAGGGCCCCGAGACGGCCCAAGAAGACCCCAGGAGGGCAGGAGGGCCCCTTGACGGCCCAAGAGGCTTCCGAGACAGGGCCACGAGGTGCCCAGAAGAGTCCCAGAGGAGCCCGGCATCGCCCCAGAGGGGCCCAACAGGCTCCCGAGAGAGTCCCGAGAGGACCCCCAAGAGGGCCCCAAGAGGCTAGACTCGTCCCAATCCTATGTGAAAGCGTGCACTTGCAGCATGCTCGCCTTTTCCGTTTCCATTCCGCCCAATGGCCCCCACGAGGGCCCCAGGACGGCTCAAGAGCACCCCATCAGGGCCCCAAGACGGCCCAGGAGGACCCCAGGGAGGGCCCGAAGGCGGCCCAGGAGCACCCTAGGACTTGGCATCGCTCGGACGTGTGCATTTTTCCTTCGGCGAAGACCATCTAGGAACATCCTTGATCATTTGGCGAACAGACCACGCACGAAACCGAAAAAAGCACAGGGAATGGACGTCCGAGCGATGGCCAGAGGAGGGCCCCAAGAGACGGCCCCACCTGGCCCCAGGCCCCAAGACGGCCTGAGAGGCCTCCGAGAGAGCCCACGAGCCACCCGGGCGCGTCGAAGAAGAGCCCGACGTCGCCCGAGAGGGGCCCCGATTGAGGCCGCTAGGGAGCCCCCCGAGGGGGGGGGGCGAGAGGCGGCTCTCCAGAGGCTGGTGGAGGGCCCGGCCGGACCCTCTGAGGAGGGCCAGTGCAGGCCACGACCGCCTTCCGCCGGGCCTGCCTGCGCCCAAGAGGCGGTCGGGGCTCAGGAGGAGGGGGTCGATGCAGAGGGGGGCCACTCAGGGCGCCAGAGCTCGCAGGATCCCGCATGGCCAGAGGTGTATGGACCTGGGCTCGGGCGCAGGATCCTGCGTGACCCTGCATGATCTTGCAGGATCCTGCAACACCTGCCTGGCCCAGGTCGGCCTCAAGACGGCCCACGAGGCACCTAAGACAGCCCCAAGAGCCGCCCAAGACGATCCAAAACGGCCCCCAGACGGCCCAAGAGGCGCCCAAGACGACTCAAGAAGGTTCGGAGACGGCCCAAACGGCACCGACGAGAGCCCAAGAGGGCCCCACCCGGCCCCCTCGAAGCCGAAAAGAAGCCCCGAGAGGCTCCCACACGGCCCCCAAGAGGCCTTAAGTGGCTACATAACTCCCTCCAACAGAGGGGTGGCGGACGAGAGGTGAAACGCAGAACGCAGGCCCCAACAGCTGTTTTCGATTCTCCGAGGGTCTACGATGAAGGATCAAAGATCCAGGGCATGCAGGATCGAGGCAATGAGGCGGAGGAGGGCGAGGAGGAGGAGGAGGAGGAGGCGGAGGAGGCGGAGGAGGAGGAGGAGGAGGAGGAGGAGGAGGAGGAGGAGGAGGAGGAGGAGGAGGAGGAAACCCGAGATGGCCCAGAAGAGGGCTCCTTGAGGGTCCAGATGACGTGCGGAGCCCTGAACGTGGCCCCCAGACGGCCCAAGAGGAGCCCAGACGGCCCAAGAGGGCCCCCAAAGGTCCCCGAGAGGACCCGAGAGGCCCTCAGCCCCCCCCGAGAGAAGCCCAAAGAGGCTTCAGAACTGCCGCCAAGAGGGAGGGGGCCGGCGCTCCCGACTTCGCCTTCAACAGAGCTCCAACGAAGCGGCCTCCGCAACGCAGTGGATCACGTCCGACCCAACAGCGGTTTCTGTCATGGTCTTCACACCCTCGTGAAGCTCTCTTGGACCCTCCCTGGAGATCCTTGCGAGCCTCCTCGGCGCTCCCGGTGGCTTTCCCCGATGACCTCCCGAGCCCTCCCCCCACCTCAGATGGGCTTCGACTTTGACGCGCACCCCCGAGAGACTTCAAAATTGCCCCCAACAGGAGGAGAGCGAACGAGCCGTGCGCTGGGGTCAAGCTGCTGGAGCGCTGCAACAGCTCGGACACGAGGGCGCGGTCTCGCTGCCACCGGCCCGGCCGCCGCCGTGCTCATAGGTTTTCCGCAAAATCTCCGCCATTCCTCCGATAACCATTCCAGGAAGATGTCGTGGACGGAGTCCACGGGTCAGCCCTAGTCAGCTGCAATGCTGGGATCAGCGCTTGCGGAAAGGGCGAGCAGTGGCAGCGGGCTCTGGCACTGCTGGACGAGATGTGGGTCGCGAAGCTGGTCCCGAACGTCATCAGCTACAACGCTGGAGTCAGCGCGTGCCACAAGGGCGAGCACTGGCAGCGGGCGCTGGCGCTGCTGAGCGAGATGCGGGCGGTACAGCTGGAGCCCAGCGCCATCAGCTACAACGCTGGAATCAGCGCGTGCGGCAATGGCGATCAGTGGCAGCGGGCGCTGGCGCTGCTGACCGAGATGCGGGAGGCGAAGCTGGAGCCCCACGTCATTTCTCAGGAAGGAAAGAAACACCTAGACACAATTAATCGTCGATTCCCAGGAAAAGATGGGAAAATATGGGAAGTGGGGGGGAAGACAGAAACCCAGAAACTATGGGAAAATCTGGGGAATCTTTTTATTTGTGTGCCCCAGTTCCCCTTCAATTTCTACTCCACTGCAGGGCCCCGCTCGTGCGGGACAGTGCGCTGTCCGGGCAGCGCCTCTGGCGCCGGGGAGGGCCTCCAGGGGGCGCCCTCGGAGTCCCCAGGCCCCAGGCGTTGCCCCCGACGCCCGCGCCGCTGCGCCTGCGGCGGCCAAGGGGGCCCCGAGGAGCTGCCCGAGGTGGGCCGGGAGAACTCCGAGGCGGTCCGAGCGCGCCCCAAGGCTTGCGTCGGGCCTTTCCCTCCCTACGGGAGGTAATGTCAAGACATACAGTGGGCGGCTTGAATAAGGAACACTTATTTTTCAAAAGGGGCTCGGTCGTTCCTTAGGTTTGCATGCGTGATTTGCAGTTCCTTATGCGTTATTTGTTATTTATCGTTCCTTATGCGTTATCCCTTGGGATAAAAAAAGGGCTTCGTTCCTTATTTATCGTTCCTTCGGTCAGGCCGTTGACTGTATTGTTTGTTGTGTATCATTTCGTCCCAAAGCCGCCTGCCGGGGGACATGCCCGACCTGGCCCAAGCCGCCCAAGACAGCCTCCACGAGGCCCCCGAGACGCCGGAAGGGGGCTCCGAACGGAGCCAAAGCCCAAAGAGCACACACATCGTTCAAAACCCATAGGACAACAGAAAACGCACATGTTGTACATTCTCGTGCCCTTCGTCTTCGAAGCGTCCAACACGACCATACAGGCCCCCAAGGCCGCCCCGCCACGCCAGAAATGCCCCCTCTTGCGGGCATCCAGACGGCCTCAGGCAGCCCAGGAGGCGCCACAGACGGCACAAGGGATACCCAAACACGGCCCCAAGGGCCCAGGACGACCCAAGAGGCCTCCAAGACGGCCCAGGAGGGCCCAAGGAGGCCCCCAGGAGGCCGAGAAGAAGCCCCCAGGAGCTCCCAAGCGGCCCCCGCGAGGCTGGCCCCGGGGGTTCACTAATGCTTTTGAGGCAGGCCCGAGGATTGCACACTCATCCGGCTCCGCGTCGGTAATGGAGGATGACGATTAATAAATGACCGGGGGTCGTGTTCACGCGGCGGCGCCCGGGATGACGATTAGAAAAAACCGGCCGCGGGCTGGAAAACTATTTGTTGAATCGTTCTCCTCCAGTCAGAAAATTGTGCAGAAATAGCAGAAAACTATGGTTTTAATCGTTCTCTCCAATTTTTTTAGTAATCGTCATCCCGCATTAGGGCATGGGTGTGCGAGGAGGGAAGCCTGATCCCACGGGCACGGGCCTGGGCGGCGTTGCCTGGGCGGCCACGCTCGGGCGGTCGACGCTGCCCTCCGCGCCCAGACGCCTCCCGGCTTGCCTCCGCCACCCTGCCCCGGCAGTGCCCGACGTGGCCTCGAAGTGCCTCGACGCGCATCCAGGAGGGGCGCCCCATGAAGCTCTCCAGACGGCCCCCGGAGAGCCCCGGGATGGCCCCGGCAGGCCCCCGGAGGGCTCGCGACGTCCTCGGAGAGCCCCCCCAGAGGGCCCGAGAGGGCCTCCACAGAGGGCGCCGCGAGGAGGCGAGAGGGCCCACGGAGGGCCGCGAGATGGCCCACGATGGCCTCAAGAGGGCCCCAAGACGCCTCCAATGCAGCCCTGGCGTGCCCCGGCACAACCCCGGGATCCAGCACCAGCAGGGCCAGCGGCGGCGCCAGGAGCAGCCATCAGCAGCAGGCATCAGCAGAAGTCAGAGCTGGCAGGCGGCAGCAGCCTGCATCAGTCAGCAGCCTCGCCGAGCAGCAGCAGCGCAGCAGCACCAACACGCGTTCACATCACCTACGCCAAGCAGCACGCATCCAGCAGCAACAGCCAGCACAAAGCAACAGCAACCAGCAACACCAAACCACAGCAAGCAGGTGCCAGCACCAGTCACCAGTTGGCAGCATCAGAAGCGAGAAACAGCAAACAGCAGCAAGCAGCAGCAAGCAGCAACACTGAGCAATAGCAACCCGCAGCAAGTGGGAGCAAGCGAATCGCATGAAGCTAGCACCCAAGAAATCAGGCCAGCATACAAGCAGGCTGGCATTCCAGCAATCTGTCGGACCCGCATGCTAACAGCCACGAAAGCAGAACCGGCAGAAAGCAGCTTCAGCCTTCAATCGTAGGCAGCAGCAACAGCAGCAGCAGCAGCAAGAAACAGTATGCAGCGGCAACACGCATTAAGAGCACCAGCTCAGCAGCAAGCACCTGCATCATCAAACAGGTAATTGTAGCAGTAGGACCAAGCATCGTCGAGCGGCAGTAGGACCAAGCATATTCAAGCGGCAGTAGGCGGCAGGACGTAGTTGGCAGTCGGCGGGAGAGAGCGGGCAAGCAAGCCATGAAGCAAACAAGCAAGCGTGCAAGTTGATATCAGACACGTTGACGAGCATGTGAACAGGAACTTCCAGCAGAACGCTGTCAGGCCAGCAGGGTAGCAGCCATGCGCGCAGGACGGCACCAGGCAAGCAGGCACACACTCCTAACCCTTGCATGCGAGCAAGCTGCGGACGCAGTCCACGGGTCAGCCCGAGTCAGCTACAACGCCGCGAGCGGTGCTTGCGAGAAGGGCCAGCAGTGGCAGCGGTCGCTGGCGCTGCTGAGCGAGATGCGGGAGGCGAAGCTGGAGCCCAGCGTTATCTCTATACTGCACGGCAGGGCCCCAACCGTGCGACGGGAAAGGCGCTGTCGGGACAGCTCCCGTGGCGCCTGGAAGGTCCCCAGGGGCGCCCTCGAAGCCCCCAGACGTTCCCCGGACGCCCGCGCCGCTGCGCGGCCAAGGGGGCCCCAGTTGGCCTCCGAGATGGGCCGAGAGAAGTCCGAGACGGTCCGAGAGCGCCCTGGGACGTCCCAGACAGCCCGAGGCCATCAATCAATCAATCAATCAATCAATCAATCAATAACGCCGTGTCTGCACGACACACCCAGGCGGTCGGCGGACCCATTTTATGAGCACCCCGGCCCATGGATGGGCCCCCCGTTTGCCAGGACCCATTTCTTGGCAAGAGCATTTCAAAAATGGGCCCGTGCTCATGTTTTAATGTTTTAATTTCATGTTAAAATGTAAATTCTGAGCCCCAGCCCATGAAATGGGACCCCTTGTTCAGGCCGGGCCCATTTATGGGTCCGCCCTATCGCTCCAGAAGCGCGCAGCCTACCCCAAGAATGGGTCCGCCTCAGCGCCCGCAAAGCGCGCAGCCGCCCCCAAAAATGTGTCCGCCTCAGCGCCCGCAAAGCGCGCAATCGACCCCCCAAAATTGGTCCGCCTCAGCGCCCCCGAAGTGCGCAACCGACCCCCAAAAATGGGTCCGTCTCAGCGCCCCCGAAGCGCACATCCCAGAGGGGCGCGGACACGGCGCCCAAAAGGACTTGCCTGGGGCAGCATCGATCTCTCCCGTGGGCACGAAGCAGACAGCAGCAGCGGCGGCACAGCAGCAGCAAGCAGCGGCAGGCAGAGGGTAGAAGCACGCGCCAAGCGCAAGCTGAACTGGCCATCAGCAACAACCTGCAGCCACAAGCAGCAAGAACACGCAGCAGCGGCCTCAAGCACTACTAAGAGTATGCAACAGCGGCAGCAATCAGCAGCACGCAGTACCATACGCGGAATGTGAGGTCGTGCCCCAGAATCAGATGCCAGTTCGTGCAGATTTCGTGGACGGAGTCCACGAGCCTGTCCTACCGACGTCGCCAGCCTCCTTCTGGTTCCCACAACCCCCGACGACAACCACCACCACCACGACAACGACGTTGACTACGCCGGGTTACGACGGCGGCCTCGCGGCTGCGACGACAACGACGCCGCCGATGACGGCGACGACGGCGGCCATGCGACGGCCAAACTGCTGGAGCGCTTCTAGAGCTCGGACGTGAAGGCGCGGTCTCGCTACCGCCGCCGCGACCGCCGCTGCTTGTAGGTTTTCGACAAAATCTCCGCCGTTCCTCTGAGAACCATTCCAGAAGGATGTCGTGGACGGAGTCCACGGGTCAGCCCTAGTCAGCTACAGCGTTGCCATCAGCGCGTGCGAGAAGGGTAAGCAATGGCAGCATGCTTTGGCGCTGCTCAGCGAGATGTATGAAGCGAAGGTGAAGCCCGACGCCATCTATACTAGAATGCCGGGGCCAGCGCGTGCGAGATTGCGCTGCCGTAGCTCGGCCCGTGGCGGCTCCTGGCGCTCCTAGGGCGGTCCTGGACGGCCCTGGAGGGCCGCGGCCGCCAGAAGGCTCCAAGACGTCCAACGACGGCTCGGAGACGCTCCAGGGAGCGCCCGGAAGGCACCGGAGAACCCGAAGCGAGCATCCAAATGGTCCCCAAGACGGCCCCAAGACACTCCAGGAGGCCTCCCACGACGGCCCGGGACCCCGATATATTTTTTCCTCAAGGTTCCACAAGCAATGCTTGCACTTAGGGGACCCTATGTCTGTTCTCAGGAGCTGGGCCGTGTCTTCGGTCTGGCGGCTATGTGGCCCCAGTCGCCGCCCCGTCGCCGCTTAGGATCTGCATTCCCTCCCCGCCCAGACTTGCGGTACACCTTTGCGTGCTATTCGTTGTATATGATTATGCACGTTCGTCCGTCCGTCCGATATATATATATATATATATATATATATATATATATATATATATTCACATCATCCCAGACAGCCCTTCATCGACACCCCGCTCACCCTTTGCAGAAAATGCTATGTGCGCACCCTCGTTGATCAACATGCTCAGAGTTTCAAGAATCCCTTGCAAACATATGACAATTGCACCGCGCGCGTCGTGGCGCGCGAATGGCGAAATCTGTCAAAAACCGTCGGTTCCGTCGGAATTTGACGAACCATATGTTATTCAACATGTTCATCACATGCTACCAGGCGTGCCTCTCTCGCGCGCATGTCGGCATCATTTGAACGTCCTTGCGCGCATGTTGTCGCAATAATTCCTTGCATGAAATTGGGACGACATGCATCCGCGCACGACGTCGCGCGCGCATGCCGGAATTAGTCATATTCAACTTAGGTTTCGCAAGGATTTCAACATCGAGTGTCCCGAATCGTATTAAAGTTACAAGCGCGTGGTTCAGCAACATCCATTTTCAAAACAGGCCTTCGCGTTCTTGATGAATCTTCCCACGTCAATTCGTTTTTTGCACCATGTTCATCACATTCGACCAAGCGGGCCTTTCGCGCCGCATGTCGAAACCATTCGAACGCCCCCGCGCGTGTGCTGGGTGGGCACGATCTTTGTCAAATGCTCCCATGCGGGCCAGTCGCGCGCGTCGTCCACGCATGTCGAACTTTTCCAAAACCTGCATCACCGACGCGAGGGCGCCGTCATCGTCGTCGGCGTGATCAGCATCGGCGCCGTCGTTGGCCCTGCCGTGGTCATCGTTCTCATCGTCCAGTCGCAGAGATGCACCAGCCAACACCAAGCATTCATCGCAATCGCCGCTGCATCGGTTTTGCGTGGTTGGGATGAATGCGCGAGCAGTTGAACTTACAACCCCCGGTTTTTCCAACATGAATCTTCTTTTTCAAAAGGATTTTAGGATCGACCCCCCCGGATTGAACCAGTCATTTTTTCGTTCTGCAATTTGCACATGATTTTACCCCACCGCCCGTCCTAAATGTGAGCTCGTCTCATTCCAGCCAAACCAGTGACGCCCCGCCCCACCTCATCCTCTGCAAAAGGTGCTATGCGCGCGCAACTGTTTATCAAAAACTGTAAGTTCCCAAGAGCCCTTTGCAACACATTTGACCATGTGGACAAGCATGCGTCGTCGCGCGCACATGTCGACATCATACAACCATCTTCGGTTTCGCAACGGTTTTATTATAGAGCGTCCCGGCAACATATCAAAACTACCTCGCAGCAGTAATTTTCAAAAGCAGCTTGCGCTCGGGCTATTGCGTATTCTCGAGAAAATCATTGGATTTTCAACATGCTCATAACTTGCTACCAAGCGGGCCTCTCGCGCGCGCATGTCCGAATCGCTCGAAAGCCCTTGCGCGCGTGTGTTGTCGCAAGAACCCCTTGCAACAAAACTAGGCGAAGTGCACACGCGCGCGTCGTCGCGCGCGCATGCGGGAATCCATCCAAAAACCGTTGGTTTCGTATGGGTTCAAAATCGAGTGCCCCGTAAACGTGTAAAGACCCGTTTCCTCCCCAAACAATGCCTGCGCTAACGCTCTTGCGAGTTATCGGGGGAACCAGTTCTTTTCCCCGGAATGTCCATCATATTCGGCCAAACGGGCACCCCGCGCCGCTCGTCGAAATCATTCGAACGCCCTTGCGCGCGTGGTGGCGGGGGGGGAACGATCCGAGCCAACTGCTACAATGCGGGCCACTCTCGCGCGTCGGCCAGGCACGCATGTCGAATTTCTTCCAAAACCTGCATCACCGACGCGAGGGCGCTCTCATCGTCGCCAGCGTGATCAGCATCGGCACCCGCACTGGCCATGCCGTCGTCGTTGTCAGCATCGTCACCAGCATTGCTACCATCATCATCGCGTCTACCGTTGTCGACGTTGCCATGCTAGCGCGCCCGCCCAAGTCGCCGACTCGCACTGAAGTGCCCCTTGGGATGTGCCCAGCGGTCAGCGCCACCGCGGCTGTGTCGGTCGCGCCAAACTATCTGGCCGTTGTGCGCGCGAGCATTCGCGGGCTAGCGCGGCCGCAGAGATGCACCAGCCAACTCCGAACACTCATCGCAATCGCCGCCGCATGGGGTTTGCAAACTAATTTGCGGGTGGGTGGGTGGGATGATTGCGCGATCAGTGGGGTGGGTAATTTACTGCGAACAGAAAGTGGTCTTCCTTTCTTAAAAGAGAAACAACTCCACCACCACCCCGAGGCCGGACTTTTCGGTCTTCCTTGGGGATGTGCAGTTTGCACATGATTCTGCCCATCGTCCGTCCGATATACGACTTCATACCATCCCAGCCCAGCCCGTATCCGCCCCCCCCGCCATCCCCCGCACCAGAAATTATGCGCGCGCATTCGCTTGTCAACAATCACCAATTGCCAAGAGTCCTTTGCACAACATACGATGAAGTGCGCACGCGCGCGTTGTCACGCGCGCACGCCCAAAACCGTAAACAAAACAGTAGGTTTCGTGAGGGTTTCAAGATCGCGTGTCCAACACAACTATAAACAAAACATGGTTTCGCAACATGGGTTTCCGAAAAAACTTGAGCGCGCGCTCTTGCGAGTTCTCGAGGAACCAATCTTTATCATGTTCAGAAAATGCTGCCAAGCGGGCTTCGCGCGCGCATGTCGGAATCGTTCGAACGCCCTTTGCGCGCGTGCCGTCGCGATGGCCCTTTGCAACAAGGTGGACGAAGTGCACGCGCGCGCGTTGTCGCGCGCGCATTCCGAATTCCGTCCAACAACTTTAGGTGTTGTAGCGTGTTCAACATCGAGCGACCAAAAACCATGCAAACACACAGGGTTTCGCAACAACAGTTTTCAACACAGCGTGCGTTTTTTTGTTTGTTATATATACATATATATAGATATTAAAAACCAAGCTGGAAAGCTTTTTTTGTTTGTTTCAATGGCGTTCTACCAAACGGGCCCCTCCTGCCGCATGCCGATATCATTCGCACGCCCTTGCGCGCGTGTTGGGGGGGCACGATCCTTGTCCAATGCTACCATGCGGGCAACTCGCAGGTCGGGCGCGCGCGCATGTCGAACTCTTTCCAAAGCCTTCATCACTGACGCGATGACGCCGTCATCGTTGTCGGCGTGATCAGCATCGGCGCCCGCACTGGCCGCGCCTTCGTCGTTGTCAACATCGCCACCAGCATCGCCACGACCATCATCGTGTCTACCGTTGTCGACGTTGCCGTGGTGCCGCGCCCGCCCAAGTCGCCGACTCGCACTGAAGTGCCCGTTGGGAAGTGCCCAGCGGTCAGCGCCACCGCGGACGCGTCGGTCGCGCCAAAGTAGCTGGCCGCTGCGTGCGCGTGCATGCTCGGGTTGTCGCGGCCGCAGGTGGGCACCAACCAGCGCCAAAAACTCATTGCAATCGCCGCCGCATGGGGTTTGCAAACCAACTTGCGGGTGGGTGGGTCGGATGTTTGCGCGAGCAGTGGATTGGACAACTTCAAGTTGAGCATCGGATTGCACTACGTAAGCTGCACGACGTAGATTGCGCAACCTAGGTTGCACCACGTAGCGTGCGCAAAATCGATTGCCAGAGACACATTAGTTGGGGCCCATGGTGGCTGAAAATTTCAATTGATTTTTCGGTTTCCACCAACAGTGGCTGCAGACGGTTCCAAGCGCCTCCTCCGTCGCGCCAGCATTGCCCAAGTTTCCAGGGGAGGCTTTCGATAGCCCACAAGGCCCCCCGGATGATGCTAAAACGCTCGAAGACGGTGCCAAATAACCCCAAGTTCCTGCCAAGAAAGCCCCGCTAGAGTCCCCCCACAAAGGCTTCAGAGCCCCACGGACGCCCCATGACGGCCCCAAGGCGAAAGAGCCCCAGAGACACCCGATCTGTTCGATTTCGACGAGCTGTTCACCCACGGTGAGCACTTCCCAGGTCCAGCGCACCGTGGATTGAATCCACGGGTTCGCACTAGTCAGCTACAGCGCTGGAATCAGCGCGTGCGAGAAGGGCGAGCAGTGGCAGCGGGCGCTGGCGCTGTTGAGCGGGATGTGTGAGATGAAGCTGGCAGCGGACATCATCAGTTACAGTGCTGCGATCAGCGCGTGCGATCAGGGTGAGCAGTGGCAGCAGGCGCTGGCTTTGCTGAGCGAGATGCGGGAGGCGAAGGTGGAGCCCAATGTCATTAGCTATAGCGCTGCGATCAGCGCGTGCGAGAAGGGTGAGCATTGGCAGTGGGCGCTGGTGCTGCTGAGCAAGATGCGGGAGGCGAAGGTGGAGCCCAGCGTCATCAGCTACAGCGCTGGGATTAGCACGTGCGAGAAGGGTGAGCATTGTCGTCGGGCGCTGGCGCTGCTGAGCGAGATGTGGAACGCAAACGTAGTGCCCGACGTCATCTATCCTACAATATTTCAATTGCACCAGAGAAAAACTCCAGTCAGTGGATGGTTTGATCGATAAGGAGATCGACCGGCAACCTGGGAACCTGGACCCCACCGAAATCGGCCTGGAACCAATAATCAGGAACCCGCGGGAACCCGGAGCCGGGAACCCAGGAACCCAGCTGGCCACCAAAATCGGCGGGACGCTTCCTCAGAGCCCCGAATCATCAGGGGTCACTCGGGTCAGGGATAACTCGGGTTCGTTTTTCGGGAATCCGAACCCGAGTTACCCCGGACCCGAGTTACCCCGGATAACTCGGGCGTCCAGAGCCCCGAATCATCAGGGGTAACTCGGGTCAGGGCTAACTCGGGTTCCTTTTTTTCGGGAATCCAAACCCGAGTTACCCCGGACCCGAGTTACCCCGGATAACTCGGGCGCCCAACTTCCGCCAAGTCTTTCAATTTCCGGTAGGACCCTTTCAGTGGCAAGCACTGGTTGGGGAGTCAGCGCGTGCGAGATGGCTCCGGCGGAGCTCAGCCTGGGGCGGCTCCCAGCGCTTCCAGTGCGGCCCCAGACGGTCGTCTGCATTCCCGAGGCGGCCTTCTGGCGTCTTCGGACGGCCGCCAGAAGGCTCCAAGACGGCCCGAGACGGCTCGGAGCCGCACAAGAGGGTGCTCAGACGGCCCAAGAGGACCCCAAGCGAGCCCCAAATATGCCAGGAATGGAATGGAATGCAATGCAATGGAATAGAATGGATTGGAAGTAAGGCCAGCAGTCGAAAGCCCGCTAGCGCAAGGAACAAGGGGAATCACTCCCACTGGGCCTCGCCCTCTGGCTGCTCGGAGCGCTTGGAGGCGGCCGCGGCAGTCCACTGCGCGACCGAACCTGGCCAGGATCGCCCCTCTCTCCAGGCGTGGGCCAGAGCCTCCTGGAAGAGCAGCGAGGGTGCAGGCCGCCGCGGCCCTGCTCCTGTTCAAGACAATCTCGGCCAGGTGGCAGAGGCCCCACGGGGAAAGGACCTCCAAACGCACCGACCGCCCATCCTTTGTGGGCCCTGGAAACGGCAGGGCCGTTTTTTACCGTTTCCAAAAAAATGTCCCTTGAAAATGGAAACGGCAAAAAAACGGCGACCGGAAACGGCAATAAAACGGCTCCAGGATTGGAACCGGAGCCGGAACCGGTCAAACAACGGCGACGGAACCGGTAAAAAAACGGCGTCGGAACCGGCAACAAAACGGCAGAACGGAACCGGTAAAAAACGGCCCTGTCGTTTCCAGGGCCCGCGAAGCGCCCATCTTTCGTGCTGGCTCAGCCAGCGGGGGAAGAGGCCACGGGGACTTCGCGTTCGCCGCTGCTGCAGCGCAGTGCCCGCCCCCGCTCTCCTTCACGGGGCTGCAGAGCATAGCACGCGCGCTCCTCCCCGGGGCGAGCGCTGCGCACGGAGTGCAGCAGAGCAGCCGGGGGGCAGCGATCACGAGAGCCCCTGGAACGTCGAAACAGAGGAGGAGGAGGAGGAGGAGGAGGAGGAGGAGGAGGAGGAGGAGGAGGAGGAGGAGGAGGAGGAGGAGGAGGAGGAGGAGGAGGAGGAGGAGGAGAGGGGGGCGGAGGAGGATGAGGAGGAGGAGGAGGAGGAGGAGGAGAAGGGGGGAGGAGGAGGAGGAGGAGGAGGAGGAGGATGAGGAGGAGGCGGAGGAGGCGGAGGAGGCGGAGGAGGAGGAGGAGGAGGAGGAGGAGGTGGACACGTATCGCTAGCCAGCTCCTCATCGATTGATGCCTCAGCCTGCACGGCAAGCGCACCGCGGAAATGGAGCAAGGGCGGCGACGGGGGAGGCGTGGCGACCTGGCCCTCTCGGGGCGCCTCCGAAGATGGCCCGAGAGGACTCTGATGACGGCCCGACGAGTTCAAGATCATGGGCTCTCCCTGGGTTCTTCAGCCAATTTCAGGTTCTCTCTACATCCAGCCCAGAACAGCCCCAGACGGCTTCAGGGCCCTTCCGATCGCCCCGGCACAGCCCAGGAAGTTTCGAAGGAAGCCCAACACGGCCCAAGAGCGCCCCAAGAGGGCCCAAGAGAGCCTGAAGGCGTCCCCATAGAGCCCCAAGTGCCTCCCAAGACAGCCCCCAGAGGGCCCCCATAGCTGCCCACGAGAAGGCGAAAAAGTGTGCAATCACAATTTCAAAAGGTGAAATCTGAATTTAACATTTCTACAACTGTACCTGCAGTCTTTCACCAGTGCAAGGTTTTTTTCCATATTAAGTATCTCTCTATATATAGCTGACGCGCTCCTCTCGCGGAAAGTTCTGGCGACCATGACGCCTCTTCTCTGATTCCGCGGCGCATGCTCTTTTCATTTCCTGGGCTCTGTGCTCAAACTATTCTCGTCCTGGAGCTGGTCACTTACGGAGGCGAAGTCGCTCCTTTCATTGGCCCTGCAGGCTTTCTGTCATCGGGGGTTGCTTTCTCAACTTGCGCCGGCATCGCTGCAATGGACTCGTTTCCCGATCCAGTTCCACAGCGTTTCACGTTATGGACGACCTTTTGTCAGGCTGCTCAGGGGTGTGATGTTTGGGTCGTGTAGTTTTAGTTCTGCCACCCTTCTCTCGCCCTGCTCTCTGATTATTGAGCCACCCTTGGTTCTTGCGCTACCCTTTTCTCTTGCTCTGAAGTTCGCTTTGTCTGGGGCTGCTGGCTCTCAGGTTATGTGGGTTTCTTTTTCTAGATACGAAGGCTTTCTGATTATAAACCTCTTATGTATCTACATGGTTTCTGGCTCCGGAGGGTTAATTTTCTAGCTCTGCTGGATTGTCTTGTTTACTGGGTGTTTTGTCCTAGGTCTGCAGGCATGCTGGTCCAGAGTGCATGTTTCTTTTGCCCTGAAGGCTTTCCTGCTCAGGTCCCTTGTGTCTCTAGTTCTGATCTAGACCTATTGCCTCACACACGCTGCAGGCTTTCTTGTTTCGTCGTCTCCTTCTCCTAGGTCTGCAAGCGTTCTCTTCGGGCTCCCCTGGATGAATTGAACAACTACACAGATGCAGTTTGCGCTCCCCTCCAAGAGGGGTTACATCCAGATCTAGTACTTTCAACAGGATCTCCGGCCAGAGGGTTATCTCTGGAGGAAACCCTCTTACGCAATTGCCACCGAGAGGTCAACATGAGCCCAAGCGATTATGTGTTTGACCGGTATGGATTCGCACTGTCGGTCTGGACGCCTTCTAAGACGGTCGGAGAGGCCGCTGAGAGGCCTCGAGAGGCTCCGAACAGCTGACCGTAGTTTCTTAGACGTTCCAGCCCCGGTTCCGCCTCGCCCCCTCGCGTGGATTGTTGCGCGCGGGCTTTGTTTGTGTGTCAGAGTTCCGTTCGTCATCGGTGTTGGCTTCGCTCTGCCGTCACGTGATGTGGGAACGAGTGGCTGCGCGTTGGCGCGTCTAGCCGAACTGCGCCAGAATACACTTTGCAGGCCGATCAACGTTTCTGTACGACTGTACGACGGCTGCGTCTACACCACCGCCGCCACCGCGGGGGGGGGGGGGGGCGAGCGGGGGGCGGGAGGGGAGGCCAGGGGAGTGTCAGGGCTTTGGAAAAAAGGATGAAAGAGGAGGGAACAGAGGAGAAACCGTAATGGACGGTGGACGGGGGGCTACAACAAGGACAGGGCGGGGAGGAGGATCATGCAACGCCACAAAATTCGTAAGGTGTGTGCCGACTTGAAGCCCCATGGAGCCCTTGCGGGGGGCCTCCCATGATGCCCGAAGTGCTTGAAGGCACATTCCGGTGGCCTCAAGATGTCCTAAAAGGTTTCAAGGCGCATTCTGGTGGCCTCAGGATAACTTAGTGATGATCGCAAGATGACCCCCATGAGCTTAAGACGGTCCCGATATGCACATAAGTCGAAGCCGACCTCACATGACCCCAACATGGCACCATGACCTCAAGGTGACCCAATACGTCCCCAACTTGATATCCACGCGACCACAAGATATTTCACACAACCATTCACGATACCAGTAGGGTCCGAAATTGACCCCACGTTTTGAATGCGAGACCCCGCGGGAAATCCAAGAAGCTTCCATGACCTCCTTGCCTGCTTGCTTCACGGTGTTTACATGTTCTATTGTTCGGGAGGGCGTTGTGATCCCACTATGATCCCACGACCCTCCGATAACCATTAAGACGACACCAAGACGCCCCCTCGACTCCATGACGATCACAGGGTGACCCCAAGACGGCCCTAATGAGATCGTCAACTGCGAGAGGTCCCCATCACCTCATGGTTGACTACCACGAGACAACAGCATCACCCCCATGACGATCCCAGACGATACAAGGACCCTAAGAGGACCCCACTATAACCCAATGCAACCCTCCAGCGGCCCCAGCATGATCCCAATGCGACCCATGCATATGATCAGAAGGCGTCCCCAAGCTGTTCCCGAGTCGACCCAAGGACCCCTTTGACGAACCACGGAGTACCACCCTCTGATCCTCAAACGACCCCAACACGACCTTCAGCTCACGACCTCCAACAGAAACCGACACGACCCGGGGATTGGTTGCCACGCCCGCGGCGCTCAAGGCCGTGAGGGCCTTGGGCCGCCGAGGGGCTTCGGGGCGACGGGTTTGGCTTGCTGTTTTTTGTTGTTATTGCTGTTGTCGTTTTGTTTTTGATCGCTCTCTTTATCCCTCTCTCTCTCCCTCTCCTTCTCTCTCTCTCTCCCCCGTCTTATCGAAATTTATTATACGTAGGTCGGCTTCTATGTCTCTCTTCATGTATTTGTATTGTATTATTGTCTCTTTATCTATCCTGTCTCTGTGTGTCTCTGTCTCTCTATATTATTATGTCTGCCTGTCCCCCTCTCTCTCTGTCGTTCTCTTTCTTTCTTTCTTTCTCTCTCTCTCTGTCGCTCTCTCTTTCTGCCCTTCGCTCTCCACCTTCTCCGCCTCGGCCCTTTAGGGTGTGTCGAATCGAGAAGGGTTCAATATAGATTTATCGTTTCCCTGGTATGTGGCGGGTTGTACGCGGAGACAGGGGGGCGTCCGCGACAAGGGTTTAATCTGGATTTAACCTTCCTCAGGGTGGGGGAATCCTTTGGACGCTCGGCGTCCACGAGAAAGCCTTAATTTGGAGTTCACCCCCTCTCAGGGTGAATACCTTGACGCTCGCCCGACGGTGGGTTAAATCCACTTAACATATTCCTGAAATCATGATGCCCCCCCTGCCCCCCAGAGGCCCCAGACAGGCCCCCAGCAAACCCCGAAGAGGGCTCCAAGAGGGGATGCAACCTCACAGACATTTTACAGAAGCCGCTTCCAAATTGGACACGATGTTCTGTTATGCTTCTGTTAGTTTGGGGGCCTCTTGGGCGCGTTTGTCGAGCACCGGAGATTTTCGCAGGCAGCTCCCAGGGGTGCTCAAGAAAGAGTGTTCCGAGAAGGTTTGAATCTTTACAGGATCGCCATAGAATCCACATCCCGGTTGGATGGGTCGTTCTGTTCATTATCGTTTATGGTTTGGGGCTGTTTTGGGCGTGTTTTGGAGCCCCGGAGGAGCACCCGAGGAGTACCCGAGGAGCACCAGAGAGGCTCGCAGGGAGCACGTAATGGGGGAGCGAAGAGGGCTCCAGGACAGCCCCGGGAACACCTAGAGGGGCTCAACAAGGCACCCACGTGATTAGAATGTAATGAAAACGTTCCCACTAGGACTCTACTCTGTTCCGTGGAATGTATGTTGACTTTGGGATTCTACTGGGCGCTTCCACTGGCGAGAGGTTTGGTTTCGACTACGTAGCTGTTCTGTGGATACATCCACGTTGTGCGAGTCCCAGGCTCAGCACGTCGTGGATTTAACAAGACGCGCGCGTGCTAAGGATCATACAGCTACGGATGCGGAGCAATGGGGGATGGTGGTGGCGCCAGGTTCTGCCAGCAGTGAGGAAGTGCTCGGGTGCTGCGACTGGCCGCCACGCAGCGGATATCCTTGGTCTTGTTGTCAAGCCGTGCGAGGCAGCTCCCTGCATGTCCAGAAGGCCACTCGCTGGCCCCCCCACATCGGGACTTCGCAGAGGGGCACGCCTGGCCAAGTCTGAGCCGCCTCCGCCACGACGACACGACGACGTTCAAGCACCGCGGTTCGCGTCGTGTCGACCGGCGGCGACCCCGCCGCCCAGCGTTCGAAGTTGAACGCCGCCGGCGACCCAGATCTGGTCGATGGTGAACGGTATGACCTCTCGGAGGCGGCCGAACGTTCAGGGTGGAACGATCCCCGCGGTGTCAGAAACCGCCGCCGAAGCCGGCACGACACGAGCTTGCCGCACAGCAGGCCGAAGCCCTGAAGGAGGGGGAGGGGGAGGGGAGGCCGGGGAGGCCCTGAAGGGCAGGGAGGCCTCCAGGGATGCCACGGGTGGGCCGTGGGGAGGCCGCGGCGGCACGGGCACGGCGGCGACACGAGGAGGCCACAACCTCCGGAGCCCTGGGAAAGGGGGGGGGCCGCGGGGGAGGCAGCGTGGCCAGGCTGGGGGGGCGAGAGGCCAGAGTCCTGGGGGGGGGGGGGGGCGAGGGAGGCCAGGGAGGCCATCATAGGGGAGAGGTCCGGGAGGTCAGGGGGGGCCCTCGGGGAGGGGGGGGGGGCGGGGCAGGCCACAGCGAGGCCGGGGGGAGAGGCCCGAGAGGCCCGAGGGGCCAGGGCGGGATGGGGCACCGGGGAGGCCACCAGGGGAGCCGTGGGGAGGCCAGGGCACGACGACGCGAAGAGAAGCGGGGGGGGGGGGGCGGGGCGGGGGAGGCCAGAGAGGCCAGGGCGGGAGGCCAGGGAGGCCAGGGAGTCCAGGGGGAGGGGTGGGCAGGGCGGGGGGGGGGCATCAGGGAGGCCCTGCCAGACATTCTCCAGGGCACGCGCAAGCACGCCCCCCCCCCCCCCAGAGATCCCCCAGGGCACACTCTGGCATGCTCTGCAGCAGACATCTCCACGACATTCTCCATGGCACGCTCTAGCGCGCCCTCCAAGACGCCCTCCAGTGCACACTCTGGCCCGCACCCCCAAGCCATCCCCAAGACAGTCTCTAGGGCACATTTAGCACGTCCTCCAGCAAACATCTCATATACACTCTCCATGGCACACTCTAGCACGCCCTTCAAGCCCTTGGGAAGGCCACGACGGCACGACAATACGACAACTAATCCAGTGCGAGCTCACACTCGTAGTTGTGATGATCCACGGGTGCTCGTTAGTCAGTTGCAACGCTGGGATCAGCGCGTGCGGGAAGGGTGAGCAGTGGCAGCGGGCGCTGGCGCTGCTGAGCGAGATGCTTGAGGCGAAGGCGAAGGCCAACGTCATTCCCCAATCAGTGCTCTCGCCATCGATGCCCCACGATCGATCTCTCTATCGATCTCACAATCGATCTAAATATCCACATGATTAGTTTTCACCATCCAATGATAGGGTTTTTCTCTGGATTAATCTTTACTGCAATTCTGGTCGCGGCATGTGCGAGTCAGGCGTTGCGGGCAAAAACCGCTCCTGAGCGCCACCCCGAGGGCCCAGAGCTCGGCACTCAGTTCTCCTCCGTCCCCCCAAAACCCGCGTTCCCACTATTGCGGAAGCCTTACGGCCGGTGCAACCGACTCTGAATGGCGACGACGACGACGATGACGACGACGATGACGACGACGACGACGACGACGACGACGACGACGACGACGACGACGACGACGACGACGACGACGACGACGACGACGGCGAGCGCTCTCGGGGGCCGCTTGGGAGCCTCGTGGGGGCCTCTTGGGGTTTCCTGGGGGTCTCTTGGGGGCCTCTTGGGGCCCCTTGGGGGGCGTCTTAGAGGCTCTCCTGGGAGCTTCTCAGGCCGAGGCCTCGAATTGACCGTCCGGGTCCCCCGTCTGGGCTCCCTCTTGGAGCCGTCTTGGGGGCCTCTTCGGCTGTCTTGGAGGCCTCTTGGGCAGTCTTGGGGTTGGACCATCTTGTGGCGGTCTCGGGGGGCTCTTTGCCTGTCTTGGAGCGTCGGGAAACTGACAAGGCGAGAATGCCGAAATCTTTCAAAAACCAAAGGGGAATCTATGGTTTTTCCCCACATGTTTCGTGGGGTTCTGGTTTTCTTCCCTGCCGCGGCGCACCCGCGTCTCCTCACCTCCCCTCCTCCTCTTCATTCCTCTCCTCAACCCGCGGTCAACACATGCACGGCAAGTACATGAGACACGCGTCTACATACAGCCGCACGCATGCACACACTCGCACACACAAGACGCATGCTCACTGCACCATACACCCAAGACGTCTGCACAATCCGTGAGGGTCGCCCAGGGCACAGCAGGCATGGCATATTCTCGACACCATAGGGGGTGCGCAGGGGGTGGTTTCTCACCGCGGCCGCTATCCGTGACGGTCGTCCAGGGCATAGCAGGCAGGGCATATTCTCGACATCAGAGGGGGTGCGCAGGGGGTGGTCTCTCACCGCGGCCGCTATCCGTGACGGTCGTCCAAGACACAACAGGCATGGCATATTCTCGATACCAGAGGGGGTGCGCAGGGGGTGGTCTCTCACCGCGGCCGCTATCCGTGACGGTCGTCCAGGGCACAGCAGGCATGGCATATTCTCGACACCATGAGGGGGTGCGCAGGGGGTGGTCTCTCACCGCGGCCGCTATCCGTGACGGTCGTCCAGGGCACAGCAGGCATGGCATATTCTCGACACCATAGGGGGTGCGCAGGGGTGGTCTCTCACCGCGGCCGCTATCCGTGACGGTCGTCCAGGGCACAGCAGGCATGGCATATTCTCGACACCAGAGGGGGTGCGCAAGGGGTGGTCTCTCACCACGGCCGCTATCCGTGACGGTCGTCCAGTGCACAGCAGGCATGGCATATTCTCGATACCAGAGGGGGATAGAGGTGGTGCGCAGGGGGTGGTGTCTCACCGCGGCCGCTATCCGTGACGGTCGTCCAGGGCACAGCAGGCATGGCATATTCTCGACACCAGAGGGACAGCAGCATGGCATATCTCGGCACCATAGGGGGTGCGCTGGGTGGTCTCTCACCGCGGCCGATATCCGTGACGGTCGCCCAGGCACAGAGGCATGGCATCCTTCTCGACCCATAGTGGGTGCGCAGGGGGTGGTCTCTCACCGCGGCCCGCTATCCTGACAGTCGTCCAGGGCACAGAGGCATATTCAATTCTCGACACCATAGTGGGGGGGGGTGGGGTGGGGGGGGGGGGTTGGGGTTGGTGGGGGGTGCGCAAGGGGTGGTCTCTCACCGCGGCCGCTATCCGTGACGGTCGTCCAGGGCACAGCAGGCATGGCATATTCTCGACACCAAAGGGGTGCGCAGGGGGTGGTCTCTTACCGCGGCCGCTATCCGTGACTGTCGTCCAGGGCACAGCACGCATGGCATATTCTCGACAGCGTAGGGGGTGCGCAGGGGGTGGTCTCTCACCGCGGCCGCTATCCGTGACGGTCGTCCAGGGCACAACAGGCATGGCATATTCTCGACGCCATAGGGGGTGCGCAGGGGGTCGTCTCTCACCGCGGTCGCTATCCGTGACGGTCGTCCAGGGCACAGCAGGCATGGCATATTCTCGACACCATAGGGGGGTGCGCAAGGAGTGGTCTTTCACCGAGGCCGCTATCCGTGAGGTCGTCCGGGGCACAACAGGCATGGCATATTCTCGACACTCATAAGGGGGTGCCAGGGGGTTGTCTCTCACTGAGGCGCTATCCGTGACGGTCGTCCAGGGCATAGCAGGCATGGCATATTCTCCACACCATAGGGGGGGCGCAGGGGGTGGTCTCTCACCGCGGCGCTATCCGTGACGTTCGTCCAGGGCACAGCAGGCATGGCATATTCTCGACACCATAGGGGGTGCGCAGGGGGTGGTCTCTCACCGCGGCCGCTATCCGTGACGGTCGTCCAGGGCACAGCAGGCATGGCATATTCTCGACACCATAGAGGGGGTGCGCAGGGGGTGGTCTCTCACCGCGGCCGCTATCCGTGACGGTCGTCCAGGGCACAGCGGTATCGGCGGGGCAACGGCCACCAACATCATTCTCACATGCTTCACTTCAGCTCTCATCACCCCAGCCATAATATAAGTATGTGGGGTTCCTCGGTAGCGTAATTGCCCCTTGGGGCCCCCTTGGAAGTCCTCTTGGAGGCCTCTTGGGGCGTTTTGGAAACCTTTTGAGCCGTCTGGAGGCTACTTTGGCGACTTGGACCGATACTTCAGCGATTCGGGGCCCTCGAGGACTGTCTTGGGGGCATCTCGGGGCACTTTTGCCGCGTCTTGGGGCTTTTCTGGGCTCCCGAACCGCCCGGGGGGGAGTCGTATCTGGGTGGCGACCCCCCGAGACCCCCCAGGGGACCCCCCCTATCGACGTGGAAGGGATCAAAGGGAATTTTTCCTCGACTCAACTACGACGTTGCTCCATTTCGCTGTGGCTGGCGCGGTCGAGGAGGAGGGCCCAGTGAAAGTGGGGGGAGCGGCGACGGGCCTAGGGAAAGGGGAGGGGAGCGGCGAAGGCAACGACGTCGACGACAACGACCACAACGACGACGACGACGAGTCAAACAGAACAGCCACACACTGATAGGGTCGGCGGATTTCGAACTGGTATTTACGAGGTTGATCGTGAGTTTCGGCGCGGCTCGGAATACAGCACGTCGACGCGTTGGAGTGGTCGCCCCTCCCACGTCCCACGGTCAAACCTGTTTCGGTTATGACAAGACGGGCCACGCCGAGATACCTCGGATTCT